GTCGGTCATGTTCCAATGCCTATAATATGCCAGGTGTTGAGCGGTTGCTGGCCAGGCTCGAGAAAGAGAGCTCAAAGGCACAATGGTACAAGCGTGTTCCGTGATGGATCAGCGAGCGCCTATCTACTATGGGAAAGATGAAAACCTACAAAGGTACATCCATCCTTTCACCCTGGGTGGATTCAGCGCTTGGATGCATTAAATGGAAGGTTTGCGTTAAAATGCTGGCCCGGAGGGTTGAGAATGCAGGCAGTCACTAAAATAACACGGGGCGCCTCTGCGTAAAATCTCAACGCTTTGATGTTATCCAGCTGAGTGAACGCTCTTGAAAGCGACAAAACCGCAGTTCGACTGAATGACCATGCTGATTGTACAGCACAGGATCAGGCACGCATAGCCGACGGTGTTGAATTGATATTAGAGTTGGAATATTGGGTCAGGATGTACAGTAGATGCGCTTTCCCATTTAGGGTTAACCGAAATTCTGAAATGTGTTTTCGATTCTAAAAAAATAACGTAAGGAGGGTTGTAGTATTAATTATCGTGCAGCCTACTACCAAGATATTACAAGCATGTCCAGATGCTGGCTTTTGAACGAGGTTCTTTTCGACCGCCTGCAAAAACCACGCACTAAAAGGCCACTTGTGTAGTATGCACTGCTATTACTGATTTTCGATGCCCTTACTAATTCAAACATATTTTATAGAGAGCATGTATGAAAATTTATTTTTTGTACTCGTCTGTTAGTAAACTACGAGTTCTTTAAAATGTCATCCTTGAAGAAATTGTATTCTTCCTATTTAAAAAAAGAGGTTTAGATTTTTATTCATAAAACATCGTATCCGTCCATACTTTTAATGTTGCTTATAAAGTATACAAGATGGTCTAATTCCATTATCGCATTTTCTGAATCCTACACTAAGTTTTCTTAGCAGGACAGATTAATGTACGATTTTCCTTACTCGGAAGGTATACAACACGTAGTTCGGAAACCCCAAATTTACATGTAACGACGGGAACCGGAAACGTTTTTTAAACCGAAAATAACCTTTCATCAGGTACCATATTTGAAGAAATCGTAATTGGCTATCAGACGAGTACAACAAAGAATATTTCCATACATGTTTTCTACAATATATCAATTTATGATAGCATCGATATCAGAAAGAAAATTTCATCCTACATAAGCAGTCATTTTTACAGGGTGTGGTTTTTGTAGGAGGCCGAAAATACGTTAGTTCTCCCCGCTCAGCTGTCTTACGGAAATGGTAGTTTAAATTTTATTCTTGGATAATGAACGTAGGTGAATATGTAATTGCATTGAAAATGATTAAAGAATATTAAAGTAAAGTAACTTATAGTTGTTTTAATGAGCTAAATAGAATCAATTCCATCAATATAAACTCCTGTTGCTCAGGAAAGTGATGTCTATTGATGGGAATTCGACATTATACTGACGGATTTTAACGAAAAAGGGAAATTCAGGCTACTGCAAATGTAAAAGTAGGTTATTATTATAAGTCAAAGGCAAATAGGACCTCTAAAGACAGTCCTACCGTTAGCTCAAAAAGCCGGCGTCCTGACCTGAGGTAAATATTTTGGGATTATACTGTATGAAGGTTAGTACGACAACTCCTTTGTATGTAACACTTTCGAAACTAAAATACATTAAAAAATTTCCTCTGACATTTCATGAGGCAGCAGCTCTAATATACATGGAAATAGACCGTAATTTCACTGAGTGCATACCTGCGAAAAACTACAAAACACGAGGATAAACCCTAGGCGGAGAGATATAGACAAAATTTAACTCAAACTGTCGCATGCAGACGTTTTGGACGAATAAAGGGTTTACTACCATCGTTTGTGCAGATAGTACACTCCTCACTATGAAAACGCTTACTTTGGCCACTACGATTAACAGTTCCCAGGGTTAGGCTGGTCTGTGTGCACGGACCTAAGAAGCGTCTTCAAGAACGGCCATTCGGAATGCTTCGACGATAACATTAAGAAACACGGCAAAAGGAAAAAATCAGGACGGTGGCGACTGGGAATGCATTTTTTCTTCATTAACAGTTAACAGCAATTGAAACGCCACGTCTACATGATAACAAAGTACCCTTAAACAGGCAATAGGAAAAAAACAAGAAATCCGGCGAAAGTTTGAGTAAGAAGAAAACCCTTCTGCTACCCGTGGATGATGGTTGCTGCATTAAGCGGAAGTAAATTGCCGGCAAGCAGGTAGTGAAAATGCTTGGGGAACGTACCTTGATGGTTGCGCTGGCGAGGTAGTTGACATGTGGATTCAGGGGGATAGGCTCCTTAAATGCCACTCTGAAAGTATTTGCTGAGCCATCTGCCAAGTAGGTTACATCGTTGCTGCCCAAAACCACCCCGGACTCCGGATGTACAATCTGGGGAAGTAGCGGTAAATGGGTAAAAGAAATGTTGTGAGGAGCCATTTGTACGTAAGATTTCGCAAAAAGGTTGCACATAAATATGGGTGCTCAGGGTAAAAACTACGGTATTACGAATCAGAGACGACAAAAATAACAGGGGACACAACAAAGACATTTTTATTACTCAGCCAGATATGGCTGGTCTGGTAAGAAAAGAAGACACGTGTCTTCAGTATGAATCTTCTTGGCAAATGCATTTACCTTTGGTTGCGGCTTGATCAGGTAGCGTCAGTATGACCGAAAAGTCGAGAAGACCCACCTTGAGTGCACTAACGCACTGCGTCCGGTGATGCGAAACACCGTCGCAGGGGGCATTAACTAACTGCTTACATTTAAACCATGAAAAAAAGCTTCACATTTTACGATCACTTTATTTCCGAATTATTGTAAATAGCTAAGTCTTGGAGGACGGCTTGATCCGACAATAAAGCAGTCGATACAGTAGTCGCCGGTTATTAAGCCCACGGTTAATAGGCCTAGCCGCGTATT